GGAACCTTGGAGGTCTTCTAGTCCAACCCCCTGCTCAGGCAGGAAACCCTACACCACTTCAGACAAATGGTTATCCAACCTCTTCTTAAAAACCTCCAGTGATGGAACACCGTCAACTTCTGGAGGCAAGTTGTTCCATTGATTCATTGTTCTCACTGTCAGGAAATTTCTGCTTAGTTCTAGGTTGCTTCTCTCCTTGATGAGTTTCCACCCGTTGCTTCTTGTCCTGCCTTCAAGTGCTTTGGAGAATAGCTTGACTCCCTCTTCTTTGGGGCAGCCCCTGAGATATCGGAACATTGCTATCATGTCACCTCTAGTCCTTCTTATCCAATTCCAGCAACTGTTCTTTATGTATAAAGTCTTGGGCAGATGACTTTTTCTGACTCAGAAGTTGCTCGCTCCTTTTTGTTTCACTGTCCATTGGTTCACCAAACTGAATCAGAGAAGCCACTGCATCTTCATTCGGACCACCATACTCCCTCTCTCTAGCACAATTACATGCTTAGTTGCTTAAGAGAATAACTGCATGACCGAGACAAAAAAATATATATAGTCCGTTAAAAATATCGCTGGGTCTAATTTGTGACTCATATTCCTACATTGAAAAATTAGTGGCAGAAGATTCTGTTCCAAAAATCCAGGTTAAGAATCTGAGACTCCGTCCCCCATTTCTTTCTTTTTTATTTTATTTTATATACAAACAAACATACAACACATAATCAATCATTCAGTGTATCATCTAAGTACATCTCTTGTGACTTCTTCTTCTTACTCCTCCAATCTTCATCATTTCTTGATATTTTCCATTCATTTGCTATAACATTCTCCCCACATTATTCATTTATTATAACATTCGCCCCATATTTCTTGCTTACTATTAATACATTTATCTATCTTCACTCTCCCCTTTCAAGATTTCATTATTTCAGTCTCTTGATCACCAATTAGATTAGTCTCCATCATCCCCAACAGGGGTGGTATTCACTTATCTTCACTACCGGCTTGCAAATGTGACCGCATGCGCCTTCCGCGCATACAGAGTCTCAAAAATGGGACATGATGACGTCTGGGCAGGTGGGCGGAGCCTCCCGCAGCCGCCACTACCGGTTCACGTGAATACCAACACTGATCCCCAATCACTTGGGTCCATAGTTCCAGGTCAGTGGTGGGTTGCCCCTGGTTCAGACCGGTTCGCAAGAACCGGTAGTAAAACCGGTGGGAGGCCCCGCCCACCGCCCCTGCCCACCGATGTCATCATCGGCGATCTGCGCATGCACACATCACATTGTGAACCGGTAGTAAAGGTAAATAGAACCTGCCCCTGTTCCAGGTTCATCTTAGTTAAGAGCAGGGGTGAAATGCTCCTGAATCGGACCGGATCGCCCGATCCGATAGCCATTTTTCCCTGTGGTTCGGCGATCCGGTAGCAATCGCCACCTGGGTGTCATTACTTCCTGGTTTTAACCAGGAAGTCATTTTTTTTACCTTCTGCGCATGTGCAGGTTTTGTGCATGTACTGGTGTGCGTGGGCCCGTGATGTGCGCGCATGCACTTCCAAAACAGTAAGGAAGGTAAGTAGATTTCACCCCTGTTAAGAGGTGCTGATCTGGGAAACTCTGGGTTAGAGAAGGCTATCTTAGATTTTTGTAAACTGCAAATGATTTTCCACAACCTCCAGCGGGGACTTTTGACAGTTTGCAGAAAGTTTATGCTGTAATAAGTGTAATAAGCTGGCTAAATGAGTCTTGGAACATCGTAAATGCTTAGTGACCTCTTTTTTTAAAAAAAACAAGTTTTATTGGTTTTTTTCTTTTCTCCTCTCCCACCTTCACCCATATCTTTCTCTTTTTTTTTTTTTTTGAACAGTGTTGGTCATTTCTTATCTTATACAATTAGTCAAATTCAAATATATTTTACTCAATTACAATTTTTGTCAATATTGTCTTCCCCCCTTTCCTTTTTTGTTTGGATATACCTCAGTATTTCTATACTTGCATATATAAGCACCTTCTTCATTTATCCCTAAGTTCTAACTTTGCTAGTTGTATATATTTATCCTCTTTTATTCTTTAACAATTCATTCTTTTTCCTAGTATATTTATATTTGTTTGTTCAGAGCTGCCTTTCTTCCACTTCATCTTCTTTTTTTTTATTGTACAGCAATCTTTCTCCTCGAACCTAGCCTTTCCCTCTTCTCCTTCCAACTTTCTTTCTCCACCTTCTTCTTTTCTTCTCTACTTCCCCTTCCCTTCTCCTTCTCCTCCTCTCTTCCCCCTTGTCTTACCCTCTCTCCTACTCTGCTTTCCCTTCCCTTCCTTCCTCCTTACTCTTCCATCTCTCTCTTTCCTTCCTACTCCCCTCCAATTCCTTCATCTCTCTCTATTGCTGTATTCATTTTCAGTTTAATATTTTCCATTGTGGAGTTCAGGCAGCCACGATCCCTTATCTTTTTAATTATTAACAATATACTGTATTTCATCTTATTATCTTTTTTCCTTCAAGTCTTTACTCAAACACTTTTCTAATCTCTTGTCTTTTTTACTTTTACCAATATATTTTTTTCTACTTCTTGCAAGTATAACATTTACATCATTTTTATCATTTCAATTTCATTCAGTTTTACATTCAATTTCAATCATTAAATATATTTCTCAAAACATTTTAACAATATATTTCCACTTATTCAAATATATATTTATAAAGCGCATCTTAATCCTTTCTCATTTTACCCAATCCAATTATTTCTTAAAATATTCTTAATTTGTCTTCTAAATGCTTAGTGACCTCTGCTGTCTAAGATCAGAGCTACACATTGTAAGATATGGGTTTAGTTGATCCTAGCATGAATCCAGCAAGCAGAAATTTACCGGCAGTCCTCGACTTACGACAATGGAGCCTTAAATTTTTGTTGCTAAGTGAGACATTTGCTAAGTGAGTTTTGCCCCGTTTTACAACTTTTCTTGCTAGAGTTGTTAAGTGAATAGGTGCAGTTTGTTAAGTTAGTAACACGGTTATTCAATGAATCTGGCTTCCACATTGACTTTGTTTTTCAGAAGGTCGCAAAAGGGGATCACATGCAACGGTCATAAATACAAGTCAATTGCCAACATCTGAATTTTGATTGCGTGATCGTGGGGAATGCTGCAATGGTCATCAGTGTGGAAAATGGTCGTAAGTCACTTTTTTCAGTGCCATTGTAACTCCGAACAGTCACCAAATGAACTGCTGTAAATCGAGGACTACTTGTCTTAGCGCAACTCGAGTGGACCCATCGCTTTAGGTGGTCTGCCATTTCCTTTGCTATCAAATAGAATTAAAATCTATCTTTATTTATTATTTATTTATTTTATTTTTTCAAACTTCTATACCGCCCTTCTCCTTTCGGACTCAGGGCGGTGAACAGCCAAGATAAAAAACATTTATACATAAAGTTAAAAATAGATTTAAAATAATTAAATGAATTTGGCCCGTAATTTAAAACTTATCAATTTAAAATCCGTATCAAATTTTAAAACCAACCATAGCTTCCAGCTTCTTCCAGCAAATGTTACACGTGTTTCATGAAATTAAACCAAGAAGCCGATTCTTGGTTGCATTCGTACTGCACAATTCTGGCCAAGTCAGAATAGAATAGAATAAACAGAGTTGGAAGGGACCTTGGAGGTCTTCTAGTCTAACCCCCTGCTGAGGTAGGGAAACCCTACACCACTTCAGACAAATGGTTGACCAACATCTTCTTAAAAACTTCCAGTGTTGGAGCATTCACAACTCCTGGAGGCAAGTTGTTCCACTGATGAATTGTTCTCGCTGTCAGGAAATTTCTCATTAGTTCTTGGTTGTTGATCAGTTTCCACCAGTTGCTTCTTGTCCTACCCTCAGGTGCTTTGGAGAATATCCTGACTCCCTCTTCTTTGTGGCATCCCCTGAGATATTGGAATACTGCTACCATGTCTCCCCTAGTCCTTCTTTTCATTAAACTAGACATACCCAGTTCCTGCAACTGTTCTTCACATGTTTTAGCCTCCAGTCCCCTAATCATCATTGTTGCTCTTCTCTGCACTCATTCTAGAGTCTCCGCATCTTTTTTTTTTTACATCATGGCGACCAAAACTGGATGCAGGATTCCAACATGACCTTAACTATGGTTTGCGTTTACTATGATTTATGAGGTTGGTCAGCACTATATGCCTTCAGAGGTAACCGTAACAGAGTGGGAAGGGACCTTGGAGGTCATCTAGTCCAACCCCCTGCAGAAATCTATATTAGAGACCTATATTAGGGATTCGAACCACCGGCCTTTCTGATCGACAAGCTCAGCATCTTAGCCACTGAGCCACCTAGGTGGTTTGGAAGACAGTGGTTTTAACATGAAGCCTCCAAATTTTCTCCAAATTTAAGATTTTAAAATAATAATAATAATAATAATAATAATAATAATAATAATAATAATAATAATTCATCTAAGACAGGGGTCTTCAAATTTGACAGCTTTTAAGACTTGTGGACTTCAATGCCCAGAATTCCTCCTCCGGTCACATGAGCTCAGGAATTCTGGAAGTTGAAGTCCACAAGTCTTAAAAGCTGTCAAGTTTGAAGACCCTCCATGTAAGACAGTGTTTATCAACCTTGGAAGCTTGAAGATGGGTGGACTTCAGCTGCGCTGGCTGGGGGATTCTGGGAGTTGAAGTCCACCCAGCTTCAAGCTACCAAAGTTGAGAAACACTCATCTAAGATGTCTGAACGTCAATTCAGTCAACCCGAAACTACAACTCCCGAAAGCCCTCTGCCGGAAGGGAGGCCGCCATCTTTGCCTCCAGGAATCCTCGTGCCTTTGGCTGGCCGGGAGCGGAAGCGGACGAGCGCGGTGACGTCGCCGTCGTCTTCCTGCTCCTTTCTCTCGCGTCCCCTCTGCTGCTCGCTCCGCCCTCTTTTTTTTTTTTCCCTCTCCCGTCGTGCTTTGCGGCGGGCAGGCGACGCCAGGAGGCCGTTAATAGCCGCTCGCGCCCGGGGCAGGCTCGCGACGGGCCTCCCTCCCTCCCTCTCTCTTCCCCCCCCCTTTCCCGCCGTTTCCAAGGAGACGCGAGTCCCTTCGCCTCAGCCGCCGCCGCCGCCATTGCCGCCGCCATGTCGGCCCAGGCCCAGATGCGAGCGCTGCTCGACCAGCTGATGGGCACAGCCCGGGACGGTGAGTTTGGGCGGGCGAGGCGGGGGCCTGCAGGAAGGAAGGAATGAAGGAGAGCAAAAGCAAAGAAGGAAGGAAGGAAGGCCGCGCCCTCCGGGCCAGGCGTGGACGCTTTCGAGGCGAGGCCTGGATGAGGCGACCCGCCGCCGCCGCCTCGCCTCCTTTTCGTCGCCCTTCGCTTCGCGTTCGCCCGACGTATCCCCCGTAGCCGTCCCCCCAAGTCCCCGTCCGCCTTTGCTGGGCTTCCCTGCTTGGCCCGACGTGGTGTTTCCGCCCCTTGACAGGGACGGATCCCCCCACCCCAAATAATAACACCCCTGCCATGTTGATTTTGGGGTTCCCCTGAGGGTGAATCCCTGAAGGCATTCGGGGATAGGCTGTGTGGAGGAGGATGAGCGCCCAAGAGCTTCCCTTTTTTAAAATAATAATAATAGTAATAGTAATAATAATAATAGAAAGGCCATTTATTTTATTTATTTACTTTCGCTTCATGATTTTATATAGGATAAATATATATATATATATCTATAAATTATATATATATGTATGTATATTTATTTATTAAATTTATTATATAATTTATTATATAATATGTACATTATATATGTGTGTATGTGTACATTATATATGTATGTGTACATTATATATACATATACATACACATATATACATATAGATATAGGCAAGTCTTGGCGTATTCGGGTCTTTTCCCGTGTAAGATTGAGAGTATCTTGGCAACGTTTTGACGAGGTCTCACTTGTCATCTTCAGGCTGGTGTCTTCGGCTTCATGCTTGTGCTTTTTTCTTTTCTTTTTTGCTCGCACAAACACGAAGCCGAAGACAACAGCCTGAAGATGACAAGTGGGACCTCGTCGAAACGTCACCAAGATACTCTCAATCTTACACGGGAAAAGACCCGAATACGCCAAGACTTGCATACCTGTACCCGTGAAAATCTACGAAAACAAATATATATCTCCTGACTAGGTGGCTCAGTGGCTAAGACACTGAGCTTGTCAATCAGAAAGGTCGGCAGTTCAGCGGTTTGAATCCCAGGTCTCCTGCATGAGCAGGGGGTTGGGACTAGATGACCTCCAAGGTCCCTTCCAACTCTGTTACTGTTACCTGGCTTGGAGCCCTTGGGTTGGTTCTGCCTGGGGGCAAACCCCCCCCTAAAATGCCAGCCTGGGGTTTAATCTGTATACCCAGCTATCTTAAATCCAAGAAATAATAATAATGATAATAATGATAATGATGATGATGATGATGATGATGGCTTTGGGAATAGGAAAAATAGGAAAAGCTGCCCGGGGTCACCTTATAGGAAAGATGGGTGGTATAAAAATGTAATCCGTCCACCCACCCACCCATCAATAAAGGCCCCTAGTTGCTGTAGTAGGGGAATGTCACTTGAAAGGAGGAAGGTCCCTTCTGCTTGAGTTGGTGGTATTAAGTATTTATTTATTTATTTAATTTATTAAATTTCTATACCGCCCTTCTCCTGCTGGACTCAGGGCGGTGCATAGCCTAGAATAAAAAACATCCCAATACAAAATTTAAAATTTTAAAAGAATTAAACAAGTTTTGGCCCAAAATTTAAAACCTCCCGACTAAAATCCATTTACAATTAAAAATATCTAAAGGGGGGGGGGGGTTACGCCAGCCCAGCTTGGTGAAATAAAAAAGTTTTGAGGGTACGGCGAAAAGCACGTATGATGGCTTAAGCAGAGCTTCCAAATCCAGAGGTAGTCTATACGGCTAGTCCTCGACTTAACGATCACAATGGAGCGCAACATTTCCATTGCTAAGCAAGACAGTTGTTAAAATAAGGGTCTACCCTATTTTGCAAACTTTCCTGCCGTGCTCCTTAAAGTGAATCGTGAAGCAGCATGGTTGTTAAGTGAATCTGGCTTCCCCATTGACTTTGCTTGTCAGAAGGTCGCAAAAGGGGATCCCGGGACATGGCAACTGTCATAAATATGAACCAGTTGCCAAGCGTCCAAATTTTGATCATGTTACCCCTGGGATGCTGGAAGGGTCATAAGTATGAAAAAATGGTTCTGAGTTGTAAGGGCCATTGTGACTTCGAACAGTCACTAAGCAAATGGTTGTAGGCCGAGGACTGCCTGTACTTCAGAATGGTGAAATGTTGGGAGGGGGAGGAAAAATCAGGGAGAGCTGCTGATTTGGTCCTCTTCTGATGCGCTTTCCAACAGGCATTGTGGCAACAACAAAATGCCCAGAAATGGACTTTAGCCTTTGGCAAAAGTTCTTGTTTGGGTTACGCAGGCCATCTTTAGCAAAAGGAAACTAAACAGGAGAGCAAAACAAAGCCAGCTTTTGAATGGCAAACCAGTCAGGCCGGTTTGGCAAAACGGCAGCCTGGCCAGCGTAGGTAGCATTGGTCCTAGTAACATGGGTGGCAAAATGGTTTTCAGCTCAGCTCCTGGTGACAGGTGCTCAAGCAGGATAGACAAGTCCCTGACACCTGCGTCATCCCATCTTCTTGCTACCTGAGTCCGGCTACCTGCTCAAGCAGGTGGTGGGGTTCTTGATGTAACATCTGATGCCTGGAAACATCTGCTCAGTGATATAAAACATTGGTACAGATGGTATGAAGGGGACAATCAGGCTTTGGAAATAACATGGGATTTGGTGTATGCTGTACGTTTATAGGGCTTTCTGGAAAGCATTGACAGGGAATACATATTAACACCAATTTTTTTATAACTTGGACAATTGAAGCTGCCTATAAGACATAAGGCTTTACACCCCAGATACGTCGGCTGGCACTCTGCGTCATGAGTTGAAAGGCCGACTTTTCTGGTTTTACCTGGTGAGGCTTTTCTTTTGTAGACTCGCCTGTAGACGTAAGGTTTCGTGTGTAAAAAAAACACGAATGTAGGCCTGTTCTGCATGTTCTGAAACAGGGCTTTAGTATGTGCCCCGGGAAAAATATATATATATATATATATTTCCCTTGAAAAGCTGTCCATTCCTGACAAAGTTTGTATCTGCTTCTCTGGCACCTTTGCAAAACCCTACAGATAACTTTTTGCACTTGGTTTCGTAAATGAATAAAGTGCTCGTTCTTTCTTTGTGTAATTTGAGTTGTTTTTTTTTAATTGCTTCCCATATTTTTATTTCATACAAACTGAACAATTGTGGCCCCTCTATTTTATTTATAAAGGTTCAGTGTATCTTTGCCTGCCTACATCAATCTGCAAGGGAGTTGCAGAAAAGCCTCATGTTCATCGAGCCGTGAGTCACAACCAATTTTTAAAGCTGTTATAACAAAAAAAAGTGTTTGCTGCTTTTTTTCACAAGTAATTTTAAAAGTATAGTTTAGAAAAGAAGGAAAGAGAGAGAGAAAAAAACATTTTCAGTAGACACAACCGGATGCTTGCAAATCCTGATCTATAGTCATACACAGACTAGCTTTTTAAGAACAATTGTCACATACCATTACCACTTTGCCTTTACTTTTTATGTATCATTCCCCTGACTTCCTTACTGCAGGTTTGGGCAAGAAAACTTTTCCTTTAAAACTTTTCAACAGCGGGCATAAAATTCTGCAGCTGAGGTCTTGAAGAATGCAGATGGGTATTGTATGTGTTGGAGCTCGCAGTGTGTATCAACTAATTTTTTTTTTTTTTTGCTTGTTTTAAATGGCTCCCAAATGAGGGTGGGAAAAGGGAGGCATAAGAGAATTATCACTTTTTAAAGAAAAGTCCGGTAGCCTTTAGACATTCAATGTGTGTTAATACATATGAATCATAGTATTTAATAAAAAGACACTTGATTCATAAATGGCTACCTAGTAAAACTTCTGGGTGTGATTCACGGCCTTCAGCTAGAATGGGTTTTGGTTTTCCGAACCTTTGTTTTCTCTGTAGAAAAGATCTTCCGTGGTCTGGACCCAAGATTTTGTGTGTTTTTTTTTAATGTAAATATTGTGACTGTTGATGTAATTATGGTCAGCACCATACTTAGTGGTGCACGTGATATGAAATGCTGTGCATAATTTGATTCTCAGCTGTGAATGAAAGAAAAAAATCTATAACTTAACACTTTTATAATTTTCCGATCAGTTCTGGGGTTCGTGAATGATTTTTATCTGCATAATGAGGCGAAATAAAACGTACCGTAATTTACCGTGCTTCGTCGACATGTAACAATATTTCATATTTATAACCAAAAATGAATTTCAGGAGATGAAACCAGACAAAGGGTGAAGTTTACAGATGAACGCGTCTGCAAGAGCCACCTTCTGGACTGTTGCCCTCATGATATTTTAGCAGGGACGGTAAGTTGTCTTTCTCCTCACCGCACTCGTCTTGGTCACTGTTTTATGTCAGCATTCCTCAGCCTGCTCCCTTCGCAATATTGAATTGCCACTCCCCAGGTTTCCCAGTTGTTGTGGCTAGTGGCCATGATGGACAGAGGGACAGGTAGTCCTCGACTTACGACCACAATTGAGCCCGCTGTTGCTAAGTGGGACAGTTGAGTTTTGTCCCGTTTCTTGACACAGTTAAGTGAATACGGTTTCCCCATTGAGTTAGTTTGTCAGAAGGGTCTCAAAAAAGGGGGATCACATGACCCCAGGACACTGCAGACGTCATAAAATAAAAACCAATTGCCAAGTGTCCGAATTTTGATCACATGACCATGCAGATGCTACAACAGTCCTAAGTGTGAAAAAACAGCCATGTCACTTTTTACCCCAGGGCTGTAACCTTGAATGGTCACTAAACCTACCAAGAGCCTTGGTAGTACAGGGGTTTAAGGCACCCTGTTATTAAGCTTATTAAGACCAGCTGCCTGCAATTACTGCAGGGTTCGAATCTCGCCAAGGCTCAAGGTTGACTCAGCCTTCCATCCTTTCTAAGGTAGGTGAAATGAGGACCCAGTTTGTGGGGGCAATAAGCTGACTTTGTATAAATATACAAAAGGATGAAGGCTATTGCTGAGCACATTGTAAGCCGCCCTGAGTCTTCGGAGAAGGGCGGCATATAAATCAAATTAAAAAAAACAAAACAAAAAACCCAAACTGTTGTAAATTGAGGATTGCCTGTATAGGACTCAAGGCGATAATTTCTGGAGGGCACAAAGTTGGAAGAAGCAATTGGTTTCACACCTGGAGTATGCTCTCCACAACTGGGCCTAAATCAAAACAGGGGAAAAAAAAGAATAGATGCCGCATTGCAAGCTCTGATATCCTGAGAAATATGAACTTTTAAACATTTTCAGTGTTATTTAGCTTTCATACTTTAAAGTGCTAACTTTAAAATGTTTAAGTTATTTATTACAAAGGTAATCAAATGTGGTATGATAATATTAAAACATTTTAAAAGGCAATAAAAGTATAACGAGGCCGTCACAATTTGAGGAAATGTAAAAAAAATAACTTGCTGCTGCTCAAATCATAACATATCAAGTGAGTTGCAACCCAGAAGCGATATGCAGCCCTTTGTAATATGATGCTGTTTGTTTGGGTCACATGAAGTTTTGGGGTCATTTTCAAAAGTGGTTGTATATATCATCCAGTACTCTAATTAGATGATCTAAAATGAGAAGTATACATCCCAAAGGAACTCTTACAAAATTATTGTGTTCTATGATCCTGCATTTTACTTGCAATTACAGTCCCCTAGTTTGTGTAGGAAAAACTTTTCATCAGTATTGAGACTTCCCAATATATTTATGGCTATTATGTAGTGGAATATCCATTCTGCACGATGCCCTTTGGAATAGGAAACAAATTGAGCAGCTGATTATAATTGATTCTTTTGCTAATCACTAGTGGTCGTATCTTTTGCATGTGGTGATACGCTGGATTTTCAAATAATATTGTCTCCTATCCTTTTTTTTTCCCCCCTTCAATAGCGTATGGACCTTGGAGAGTGTACAAAGATTCATGATTTGGCCCTGAGAGCAGATTATGAGATTGCAAGTAAAGAGAAGGACCTGTTCTTTGAGCTGGATGTAAGTGCTCTCCATTTTGATAATAATAAACAGATACAAGGACGGGCAGCCGTTTTATGTACCATTATTGCAGTAGGCATAAGTGCTGTTGTCGCCTGTGCAAAACACTTAGCAGGTTCATAGCTAGGCAGCTCTGCGGCTGTAAGATTGTTACTTAATGTTACACACTTTATTGTAATGAGATGAATAAAAAAAGTAGTCATTTATGACTAAACTCTGGGGAACACAGAGCGGGATGGAGCCCATTAAATGGCTCGTGTGATATGTTGCCGCCTGGGGCGGGGTTTATTTTATTATGTTATTTTATTATTTTATTAGTTTTACTGTTTTTATATATTATTTTTTTATATTTTATATATATATATATATATATAATGGCTTCTCTGATTATTCTGTTGTTAAAGTGTTCAGTTTTGGCGTTCAGGAGCTCCTGGAAGCACGAAGCCAAGAACACCAGCCTGAAGATGACGAATGAGACTTCGTCGAAACGTCGCCAAGACACTTCCAATTTTACGTGGGAGAAGACCCGAATAACCAAAGACCTACATACAAACACCCGCGAAAACCTGAGAAAACAAATATATATATATATATACATACATACATACATACATACATACATACATACATATATATACATATACATATACATATACATATACATATACATATACATATACATATACATATACATATACATATACATATATATATATATATATAATATTCTTGTTGCCGTGTGCAAATCGGTGGCAATTTAAATTTCCAAATAAATAAATAAATTATGCTAGGAAGCTTCAAGGGCTTTTCTGCAGAGTAAAGATGTGCTTGTCACAGGCTCATACTTTTTGGTATAACAGAGCTCTAACAGGTTATCGTACTTTTCGGAGTATAACATGCACTTTTTCCCCCTCTCAAAGAGGGTGGAAGGTGCGTCATATACACTGAATACAGCCATTTTTGGCCTCCTGAAACTCCGCCCCATGAGTCCCGTTTTTGCCAAAACCAGGGCTGTTTTTCACAAAAACGGGACGTTTGGGAGGCCTGCAGAGTGGTCCTGGGTTTACCTCTTTGAAATCTTGGTGGGTCTTATAGTCCGAAAAATATGGTACCTTCTAGCATATGTCAGGGTAGGTATTGATAACTAGAAGTGTTTTTGTTCTGTGTGAATCGGTTTCACAGAAGAGTGGAGATTATTGATCCGGTAATTCATTCGTCTCCTAAATTCAGCCTCTCCAAATACTGTACTATGATTTAAAAACTTGGTTATCTGTGTCAACTTTGGAGAGTGTCTAAATCCTTCATGATTTAAAAGCTAAATTTTTTTCCTAAGTGTATTTGCCTTTCTATTGTTGCTGTGTTCAATGAACACTTAACCGGTATTATAAAGTTGTGACAATGGTGCTGCAACATTGTTAGGTTTGGCTGTGAGGAAAAGTTTTGTAAGTAACATTTCCCGTTCTTCAGAAGAAAATCTCTTATTTCCATCTCTTTAATTATCTTTTTTTGAAGTGACAACAAGAAGTAAAGAGAAATAAGGCTCTGCATTGAAGAGAATCAATTTCAGATGGGCCTTTCATGCTGCCTTCATCCCTTGATTTTTATTACTGAAATAAGGACGTGTAAAGAATGGCTTTCTAACATGAGCACTGTCCGTTTCTATACAATCAGGCAATGGACCACTTGGAATCTTTCATTGCTGAGTGCGATAGAAGAACAGAACTGGCTAAAAAACGACTTGCAGAAACCCAAGAGGAGATCAGCGCTGAAGTGGCTGCAAAGGTATTTCTGTGGTGCAGCTGGGCTCTTGGTGAAATGGCGAGAGTCTTGAAATTCACAGTCCCTTAACTGGCTGTTGCGTAAGGCTTCTTCTGGTGGTTGTCTATACAGTTGATTGGGCAAAACCCACCTAGGTGGTCTTAGGGATCCTGTAGGTACATGCATTGCTTCAGTGGCAATCTAGGCCACTGGGTGACTAACCCATCTATGTTACCTCAGATAACTTAAGAGCTGGTGATGATGTAAGCATGAAGTCCCTCTTCAAGCTCCTTTGAAATTCCTTTAGAAAGATAAACTCTAGATTTAAAGGTCAATTAAAGAGCATAGCTGCATGTTCAGTATTTACATTGGGGATAACATTAGTTTATCCAAGAGATTGTGTAGAGAATTGCTTATCTGTTCTATTCATGCTTCGCATGCTAAATAAATAAACCAAACGTGTGTTTTTAAATTATATAATAATGGGTTCTTTTCCTAGTTACTTTTGCCTCACGGCTTTCTCCCAGTGCTAAAATCCATTACAAAACCAAAGATGGAGTGGTTGAACCGGGAGATTAAAAATGAATGTGGTTTCTCTTAAACCTGTTTCATGCCAGAACTTTAAAAAAATAAAACTCCTTCCACGTGGGATGCATGATGCTGCCCTGAGTCCTTTCAAAGTTGCAGTTGGATCAAGCTCTTGAATGTGACAGAAGAGGAAAATTATTATTGGCCCCACTGGGGTGTGATCCTATGAATCACATTTGAGATGAATTAGTTGGATTTTTGTTCAACTTCAACTAAAAATTGGTTTGATTTGATTTTATGTCTTTGACCTACCTATTATTTTGATATGGATCCCCTGGCATGGCATTCCAGGTTTAAGAATGGCATATATCAAGTCCAGTATTGGGACTTGACTCACCGACAAGTCCCAATATTGCAGAATATACAGCTTCATGCTACATAACTAAGCTCCATTTCATGCTGAATAAACTAAATTATTAATGTATCTTAAATAGAAAACTATGCTTAGATAGATTTTTACTCCAAAAGCATTTTATTAAAATAAATTTGATAAAAATAAAAAAAATCCAATTTAAATCAAACAAATCATCGATTTTTATCCACTCTGGTCGTTGAAGCACTTGGAGGTTTATCTGTGTCCTCGGGATCACCTGAGTGGTGCAAACGGTTCCTGTCGTCTTGGAAGTTTTTTCCTCTGGAAATCTAATCCTTGATGAGTTATTGCTTGTTTATTGCTTTATATTGGGTTTTTAATCTACGTAAACTACCTGGCATCACTGAGAGTGAGTCACATAAATTTCCTTCAATCAAATAAATGACCCCAAACCCATGTCCGTTCTTTAGGCAGAGAAAGTACACGAACTCAACGAAGACATTGGGAAGCTTCTGGCTAAAGCTGAGCAGTTAGGAGCTGAAGGGAATGTGGATGAATCCCAGAAGATCCTGATGGAAGTGGACAAAGTCCGTGCAAAGAAGAAAGAAGCGGAGGTTTGTTCTTTCTGAATTGAATAATGCAGATTTACTGCTTGGATTTACTGCTTTGTTTAGCTCAAGGAAGCTTAGGATATAACTGGCCAAGCAAAACGAGTTTATTATCTCTCTCGAAAAATGGAGAAGGAAATTGTAACGTTTATCTTCTTTTTGACTTAACGCCACTTCCTAGATTAGATTAGCGTCACTAGTATTATTTGTGACATGTTGCAATTAGATAAGGTAAGGATGAGTTGTTGGCTAAGGTGGGGAGAAGGAAGACAGAAAGGTGAGCAATGGGAGTTTTAATTTTAACCTCTTTCTGATCTTCGATAGGAGGAATACCGAAATTCTATGCCGGCATCCAGTTTCCAGCAACAGAAGCTGCGTGTTTGTGAGGTCTGTTCCGCATACCTTGGTCTCCATGACAACGACCGTCGCCTTGCTGATCATTTTGGGGGCAAATTGCATTTGGGCTTCATTCAGATCCGTGAGAAATTGGACCAGTTGCGGGTAAGGGCTGTAGTTATTCAGGGGTAAAGTACTCTTGTGTGAAAAGAGCCTTAAAATCACTGGACAGTTTTCGTTTTAACAATTGGGTAGACACAATATTGGTCTAAGTCAGTGATGGCTAACCTTTTTGCCATCGCATGCCAGGAGCGGGGGGTGGGGGTGGGGTCGCGCATGCCCACGCCCATAATTTTATGAGCCCTGTGGATGTGCGCATGACTCCCCCCATTCCTCGCACGTGATGGCTCGGTAGGCCCGTTTTTCTTACTCACCTGGCTCCGGGGCCTCTCTAGTTGGCAAATGGGCCATTTTCAGTCTCTGGAGGACCTCCGGGGGGTGGGGAAGGCCGTTTTCGCCCTCCCCAAACTCCTAGAGAGGCCCTGGAGCCAGGTGAGAGAGAAAAACGGGCCTTTCCCATTCCCCCCCCCCCAGGCCCTCTGGAGACAGGAAACAGCCTGTTTCCCTACTTCTGGTGGGCCAAGAAGACCCGAAAATCAGCTGGCCGGCATGCACATGTGTGTCGGAGCTGAGCTCGCGTGCCCACTGATAGGGCTACGCGTGCCCACTGATATGGCTACGTGTGCCACAGGTTCGCCATCACGGATCTAGGTAAATCAGTGTTTGAGCTTTCTCCTCTTCTTTAAAACTTACAATGGGTGACTAGCCCATGTCAGACAAATCTACAAAGTTATGAGAATTTTACACACACGCAATTAAGTTCACGGGTGTGTACCTTGATTTTTCTCCGCTAAGTAAAATTCTTAAAACTGTAATGTATGTGTGAAATGACTTCATTGATGTGAGATGTTTTATGTAGTTCCATGCTTGTCATCAAGTTAACAGGCCTGTGCGAGTCAGACCTGTTTATTAGAATTAACGAATTTGGCCCTCCTATTTCATTATTGCCTTTGTCCGTGGGATAAATCTGTAGGTTGAAACCAGAAACTTGTCATTATCAACAGGGAAGTCTTATCTATTATTCTTCTAAATAAACACTTCCGGTACTTCTCATTTTGAGGGGTGACTTAAGGTACTGTATATAAAACCAACACTTTGTCAGGCAATAAACCTGTGAAATCAGTGCGTGGCTGATGTTTCTGTCACTGCTTTGCCTCCAGTCTTGGACTCTGCGGGCTGAGTGTGAGAAGCATTGTGTTCTTTCCTGGTAAAGAAATTAAAGACTAATCAGGGTTACATTAACGTTGGTATCAGAATGCTAGTCTCTAGCAGAGGATTCTGATTGTCTAGTGTTGTGAGTTTTCTTGGTGCCTCAAACACTGAGGAGTGGCTCCATAGGATCATTTTCTTGATGCTTTGAGTATGTGATATTTTGGCAAATTATTCCCACATAGGTATTTTTTTTCCCTCCCACTACTTTCCTGCCTTGATAGTAATATGTTGACCTGTTTCAGATTAATCTCTGCAGCTCTCTCCTAATTTTCTTATTGGTTGTGGGGTCTGGAAGCTGCTGGTGGGAACATTGACCATGCTTGTTGAGATTATGGGACCCAATACATCAGAAATATATCAGGACATACTGATATCCCGATGTACTGAAAAAATGATATGAAGTCAGATCACAATCTTAAATGCTTTTTATATATTTAACTACTTTTAAATAGCTGTGATTTTTTCCCCTAATCATCTGATTTTAGCTGCTGCTTTTAAGCTCAATGTGTCACAGTAATGGCCAAAATTGTGGAAACCTTTTGGGAAAAGTGTATTTTCTAAAACTAGGTAATAACACCACTTTTTTTTGTAGAAGTACCATAAAATTATATATCAATGGAAAGATAATTTAATCAAGAATGTAATGCAATAACTTTTAGGAAGGAATTGCTATTAGAATAGCAGTTACAGTATAAAGAAGAAAAGTGAAACACGTAGAAAAATCAAGATATACAAAAATGATCACCATGTCAGTTAATACTTAGTTGGGTAACCTTTAGCATGAATTACGGCCTTACAACGTCTTCCCATGGAGTGAACTAAGTTTTTGAGTTCTGCAGCTGTTACAATGTGAAACCAAGATTGAAGGATTGCTTCTATTAACTGGGTTTTATTGCTGGGTCGCTTCTGGCGAACAAGTTTCTTGAGTTGCTATCTGCGGGAATCCCTTTTGATGTAGAAACCCAGTTACATTTGACAATGTTCCTTGTCTCATTCTAGAAAACCGTAGCTGAAAAACAGGAGAAGAGGAATCAAGACCGGTTGAGAAGGAGAGAAGAAAGAGAGCGAGAAGAACGTGTGGGACAACGGTGAGGCATCGCAGAGGGAGAAGCGTGGGGCTTCCTGACATAGTGGCATAAGAGGTCCTCTGCTGATCTCAAAGAAACAACACGATAGAAACTGCGCTATGTTTGGTCCCCAGGCAGCCCAGACCTATGTTGGAGCTCTTTTGCCCTCTGAAATCATTAGAATTTGGAAGTAGAAGGAAGAATGTAAAAGTTCAAACAGCTGTCCAAAGTAGAATAAAGAGGGCTGCTTGACAGAAGATGAAAAGTTTTGATTAAACAACTCTTTCCCAACTGTTTAGAATTTTCTTTATCATCCTTCGCCAAATTCATTCTCAACCTTTTCAGCATGTTACCTTCTGGTTTTTTTAAAAAAGAACACCCTCATAACTATGTATTCTGTCTCCAGCTGTTTCTTTTTAAACAATGCTATTCCTTTTTTTTTTCTAGATCTGGATCAAGAAACCGAGATCGTAGAAGGTAAGAGAGCTTGGATGTGTGTTGAGTGAAGGGTACATCATCATTGAGATGATGGTCCTTCATTTCAGATGAGCTCCTTGATAGCTTTTGGTGGCTCTCCGCTTGTGCCTTTTCTCCAGACACAAAAGCAGGAAAGTCCCCCAATCTTTCCTAATCTTTTACTATTTCTCCCTTTTTTAGAACTCGCCTATTAAGTTGCCATTGAATTGAGCTACATTGGGTTGGCACCCTTAAGGTTCCCCTTTTATAAATTACAATGGCCTTTTGATATATAGAAGTAACGTTGAGTTGCTGAACTCTGCTTGATGATGATCTTCAGCATTCTTTAGAACAGAGATTGTCTACAGTGTTTGGGACTCCCACACACACATACACAATCTCATGTTCATGCTGAACTATATTGCTTTGTGTGACCAATTTCTTAACTATATGGGTTTTAGGATAGCAATAGTTCTCGACTAATTTGAATTGGTTTTTTTTCCCGGTCTAACCGATTTATTTATTTAATTTGTAATTTGCTGAATGCTGTAAGAGAATAAAGGGGAAAGAATAAAATCTCGATTTCTGTGAACTTAAGGTATTGAACCTTAAGGATGGCCTTTTCATCCATATCTTCATACAGTGGTACCCAAGTACTTCTTTATTGGTTCCGGGAAGGGCGATGAGTACCAAACAACAACACTTGACACTGTCAAGTTCTAGCTTTTGTGTTGAGTACCAAGCAGATGATGAATACCAGGCCAAACTTCGTGTCAAAATGCATTGAATAGCAAATTCGATGAGTTTCAAGGCAGTTGAGTACCAAGGACCATGTACTTGCTACCTTGGTACTCAAGGTACAACATTGACTTAGTTGTTTGTGTGATAAAATACAGGCAAGCACTTATTTCCTCCTCCTTAGAGGAAAACTCAGGCATAAATAATATGTGTACTGTATATGAAAAGAAACAGGTCATCCAGTCACTCTTAATAGAAAACACTTTGATGTGGCTGAACTGAATTTTTTTTTTCAATCTTCCTGCTGCAGATCGCGATCCCGAGAGCGGAGGCGCCGACGTTCCCGCTCCCTTTCCCGCGAGAAGCGAAAATCCCGTTCCAAGTCTCGGGAACGGGAGAGGCACCGGCGCCACCGCAGCCGTTCCCGAAGTCATAGTCGGGGTCACCGACGTGGATCCAGAGACAGGAGCTCCAAGCATAAGTATGGCCAGCATTTCTCAACTGCCGCTTTGCGGGAAGGCTTGTTTTGCTTGGGAGTTTAGTCAGAGGAAACACGTTAAAGCTGAAACGATATCAGGACACATTTAGAAATAGCGATGCCAGTTTCCAAGGCCCCCAGGGAATATAAATTGGGTTAAAAAGTGTGGTGGTCAAGATGCAAAGAAGCAGGGAAGGCCGAGCTCTCCTTCATGAATAGAAGTAGAAATAGAAATAGAAATAAGTAGAATATATTTCATCCATTTCAAAGACCACAAGTTCCAGCAGCCATTTTGAACTCTTGCCAGTCCTGCAAATCCTGTTTTCCCCAATATAAGGAAGACTTCCCTGCTTCTACGAACTATTTTTCGCTTCTGCTAAAAGGCATACTGCTCACTTAGGGAGTAACTGACATATTGCTATCAGGCAGGTGTTCGTTAGCATTTCTAAAAATGTTCAGAGGGGCATGAACATGTATGCACAAAAGGCCCAAACTGGCAATCTTTTACACAGAAAGTAACTACCGATTTGATAACACAGTTTAATCCAAATTAGGAACAAAAAAAGATTCTCGGATTGTTTTTAAGAGATGATGTTGGGAATGGATTTAGTTTCTATTTTGCACCTAGTTCTTCCGTTTAATGCTTACCATTCCATCCTTTATAGAAGGAAAAGTTTAAGAGAAGTGATTTATTTCCCCCGCATACAAGTTAACCACACTCCTTTGAAAATTTCATTCACTAATGATAAAGTGGATTTATAACTTCACCCATTAGAAAAGTGAGTGAAAATAGAGAGTATTTATCCCTTTTCTTTGCACAGAAAGGAGGATTGAAAACTAGGGATATTATAAAATGTGTGGGAAACGGTTAACTCATGGTTGAGATACTAAATTCATTTTTTAAATCTGTCTTAAACATGAACAATAAAGAAAAGAAGTTTGGACAATTAGGAAATGAGGAAGACCCTGTAATTACTATTACTCTAAAGAGCAGGTAAGGGAAGACTTCAGAAAACGCGAATGTACTTTAGCTCATAAAGTGCCCCCCCCCAGGGGGAAGAATTGCATGGAGAATATTTTCTGGAAAAATGGGAAATGCCGGAAACCTGGAGAGAAAATAGCAGATTGTGAAAACTCCCTGTTTCTTTTAAATAATCATCTGCTGCAATTTCTTAAAAATTCAGCATCTTCGAAAGAAACAGTATCTGGCAGGTGCAAAAGTATATATATATATATAAGAGGTGGCGCTGGATAAATAAATCATATTTAAGGACGTGGAACCATTCCCGTCCTTTTGTTGCTTTTGCAATAGAGATGTAAGTCAATTTTTGCATTCCAGAATCCCAAAAGTTTTAGTCAAGGACTGGAGTTGTTTGGCGGGAGGAAGGGACCTTTGTTTTAATTTCCCAAGTCTAAAAGACTGCTTTTCAGGTAAAGCTTTTGGGGCAAAACTTTGGGAGCAGAATGCCTTTGTTTTCAGCTTAGGTCCATAGCAGCTTCAATGTAATGAGCCACTGGAATAATTAAAAACAAGTCAGAATTCTGTATCCTGTAAGGTTATCTTCTCCTTTAGATACCTTCATATCATCATCATCTTTTAATGACCCCATAATCCCTTGCTGGGTGGACTCTGGGCAACTGAATGGAGCTGAGTGTTTACTGGCCGGATGCCCTCCCTGTCGCCAATGCGGAGTTTTATTCAGCAGATGTTTTCTCATTGTGCCCAGAGAGATAAATATCTGCCTCTATACCTAGGATCGAACTCACAGTCTCCTGATTGTGAGGCGAGAGCTCCACCTCTAGGCCACCGTACGCCATTTTAGATACCTTCATATGCTAGCTAGAAATGATGGGATTTATCCTAATTCCTTTGGAGACCCATCCTGCTGGAGAAGAGTCATTGATGGTCTTGAATTAGGATTATTGCCCTGCAGTCACAAAGTAACCATTTCCATTTGAAGTAATCCTCAATTTAACAACCATTTGAAGTTATAATGGCACTCAAAAGAGTGACTCCTCGGACTGTCACTGCCTCCCCACAATCCGGTGATCCAGATTGGTGCCCTTGGCAACCAGCAGGCATTTCCAAAGATGGCAGCATCCTGGGATCATGTGATAACGTGACTGTATCAGCCACTTTCCGACAAGCAAAGCCAGTGGGGGAAATTGGATTTGCTTAACAACCCCTGCGATTCACTTAGCAACTGCAGTGATTCGTTTAAAAACCTTGGCAGAGAAGGTTGTAATATTGGGCACGGCTCACTTAACGGCCACCTTGTTTAGCAGTGGAAATCCTGGCTGCAGCTGTTGTCGTAAGTCGAGGACTAACTGTAGCTTCATGCTTTGTGTCCTCCTCCCACCTTTTAGCAGTGGACAGATGGCATTATTCCAACCCCAATGTGATAAACAAGGGTTGCGAGAAAAGGGAGACGGCTGAAGTTCATGGAATCAATCCAGGTTTATAGACTGAAACGGTAGCAATTAGGCGGGCGTTGAAGTCGGCTGGCGCTAGCAGTTAGCCAAGTTCACATACGCTGAAGAAGGAATCTTTAACCACCTTCGGAATTCCTGACTTATTTTTCTTCCTGTTTTTTTTTTTTTCCTTCCCTCCTCTGTTTGAGCACTAACATCATTGTTTGTGCTTTTCTCTGGGTGGCAGTATGGATTGGACTCAGAAGGAGAGGGCAAGTGTCTTTAAGTGACGTAAGGGGAGAGAGGTTGGGCCATTCATAAAACTGGCTTGCCTAAGGATTCCTTGACCGAGCCAGCCTTGGAGAGCTTCTTTGGTAAGCTGGGTTTTAGGGTCAAGAGGGAAAACTTCTTTATATAGTATAGCATTGGTTCCTGTGAAGAGCCGTTGAAGAACACTGTCTGGTACATCATCTATGGAGATTCTCAGTCGTCCAGATCATAGTTCCTCAAAGTTGCCATTTTTTTGAGGAAGAAGATGTTTTCCTTCTCATCCAAAAAGCTTCATCCATTGAACGGATGAAGCTTCTTAGATGAGAAGCAAAACATCTTCCTCCTCCTCAAAAAAAAAACCAGCCCAGTTGCCTTTTGAAGACAAAAAAATAAAATAAAAAGGCACCTTTGAGGCAGTGTCTGGTACAGATTGAACGGAAATGGAATTTAAAATGTGTAGCAAAGAACAAATTATATAGTATTGTTGGGTACTAACCAGAGAAGTTGAAGAACCGGTGATCATGTATAGAATATCATAAAATTCCTCCGTGTTTGATGTGATGCAGAGTAGGAGGAAAAAAATCTCCTTAGTGCTAATGTTGTCACTAAATCTTAGGATATGAGTGAATTAAAACAAGATTGAATTGTGTTCAGTTCTTCTGCAAGGCTGGCTGGTGGTCCCAGCAGTCACAGGAGCAAATTTATTAATTACCAAATCTCGCTTTGGAAAGGATTATAATGCTCCCTTCTGTTCAGATACTAAGGCTATTTTCATGCTTATCCTTATCGCCAGTTTTTTTTTTAATTCCTGGACATGAATGGTTCCTTGATAAAAGCAAAAAAAGATTTATGTCTTACTTTTCAGTGAACGTTTTAAGGAATTTGCTTTTGACTCCCGAGATAAAGAAATTGCTTTTGACTCCATCTATTACTAAAAGTTGGCAGATTAATTTCTATCCCAATAAATCAAGGCCAACATCCTCTGAATGGCATTCCTGTCTCGGAGAATGTCATCGTTTAAGAATTGACGCCCTCTTAAATCTGGATTTTGAAGCATTCTGTTGATGCACAAAAATCGACCAAATGTGGAGAAACCTGAATTATATTTGGAGAGTTCTTAGGTGATTCACCTCTATTCTTTTGTGTTGCTTGGCTATCCCTTTGGGGATGATGTGCTACATTTCAAACAAAACCAGCTTGTGAATTCTTATATCCTTTTGAGACCAACTTCCCGCCTGTCCAAACAAAAATTTGATTTTCTTCCCCCCCCCCTCCTCAACTAGCCAAGGTCCAGAGAGGAGAATTGACAGAGAAATCTACAGCTCCTTCTCTTAGCCACCTTTGGTGTATATTTAGATTAGAACTGCGTTGCCTTTGGCGTGAATCCTTTATGACGTCGCTCGCTTTGTACTTCAGATCCTCTAGGGATCGGTCTTCAAGAGAGAAGTCGCGGGACCGGGAGAAGAAAGAGAAGAGCTCGTCTGAACGGCGGCACGAGAGCACCAACGGCAAATCTCGCTCCAAGAGGTCGGAGGAGAGGGAAGCCGGCGAGATCTGAATCCCCTTCTTGTACTGTAAATAGTCTTGGAGAAGCATTCTACACAGCCCCAAATCTCTCATTTATATTAACGGAAGACAGCACATCCTTTTGTAGTTCTGAATTTCTATCGTTTCCGCAGCTAGCAATGACAGTTCCCTGCCATTGACCGAAACTTCTGTTTTTATTAAGCCTAAAGAAACCCAGCAGCCAGGGGTCCATCCAGATTAATACTTTTAAGCAGAACGCAGCTGCTGGGGAAGCAATCCTATCAGAAGGACTGCAATCTGCTTTTAAAGGGGGGGGGAATGTACCCTCGCCCTCTCATTTTAAAGCATCACTTGCATTTCTGTTGCAAAGTTAAGTTGATACCCGATGTGAAAGAACCTCAGAAATAGTGGTGCCTTTGGCCTCTTTTCTAAACCCCTTCATTTGGGGATTTCCACTCCTGTATTTCAAACATTCAGCCTCTCTGTAAACAAGTCAGCAGTTTAATTGACAATGCACCCTTGTTGTAATTTGAGGACAATTGCTCCCAACTGGATAGGGTTTTGGTTTTTGGGGTTATTTGTATCTCTGTAGTCCGGTGAAGTTATAACACAGCATTCTAATTTAATTGAACCTTTAACTGGATTATTTTTTTGCCCAGTGCTCTGCTCTTTGGTGTAGTTTTCTCACAGCTTGCCTATGTTTCAGCCTATTCGCTTTCTGAATTTGGTTCACGTGCCCTAAGTTGTCACTTAACAAGGAGAGCCTCATCAAAGGCCCTGTTGAGAGGTGCCCCCCCCCCGGGTCAGAAATGTGTTTGAGTGAACAAATTGTGTAGTGCTACAATTTAGGAACTGCACTTTTCTGTGATAAATTTAAGCTTTGGTTTGGAAGAAATCGGTGAGATAACGGACCATAATCAGCTATCGCTGTGCTCTGCTTGAGAGTTACAACACTTGAATTTTGACAAATGACCACTGTAAGCAGATAAGAGTTAACTGCAGTCACCCACCACCACGTCTGGTGAACTGGAGAAAACGTTTGTTCCATTTCTGTATTTCCTCCCCTTTGCCCCTGTTTTGGCTTCATCCCTCCAAAATTGCAGAGATTAACGGGATTCTCCTAATCCTAATGCACAATTTATTAGGAGTTTCTTTCCTCTTTCGCTGCCACTTTTTCTGATGCAGCAACTTCACGCATGGATCTTCTTCATGCGTACTATATCGACTGGATAAGAGGAAGCAGCAAGCGGGGCCCCACCTCTCCCAGAGCCACAGAGAGATGCAACTGGGACAGACCATTCCCGGGAATGTTTAAATCTTAAAATACACCCCTTCCCCCCCTCCACCTCGAAAGGTTGATGGGTCCAGGAAAAGAAACCGGCCAGGCAAATCACGTTAAATGTACAAAGCATTAGGAATCCACCCACCCCCAGGATTTTTATCTTCGGTATTTGAGCAGTTTGATCTGTAACGGCACTTGCCCCCTCCTGCCCTCCCCCCTCCCCATGTCTTTTGAGGAGTTTTGGTCTAAGTAACAAAGATGTAATTCAAGTGCTGTTGTCCTGCCAGTCTGATTCACATTAAAAGCTTACCTTTGTGGCTTGGCTTGGTCAGTGATCTCTTGGAGGGTGGCATCGATGTTTAAAATGCTTTGGAAAAACAAAAGCACAGAGTAAGAGAAATGTGCTGAAGCACGCTCTGGGGCCATACGAGTGTCTCTAGCCCATAAGATGCTCTCTTTGTATTTTACGCATTCCTGAATGGTGAACACTCGGTAGAAGGCTGGCTCAGTATTTCTGTTGTGTTCTATAACAAGGACCAGCCATTAAAATGGGCTGTCGGTCTGCAGTACCGCCTAGAACATCTGTGTCAGAGCTGCCCATCCTTGGCGACTGTAAAACCCGTGGACTTCAACTCCCAGAATTCCCCAGCCAGCAATGCTGGCTGGCTGGGGAATTCTGGGAGTTGAAATCCACGGGTTTTACAGTCACCAAGGTTGGAAATCCCTGATCTATATAAAAGTGTTTTGAAAGTTGGAAGGAGAAAGCTACCACTTCAGCTGAAAAATGTAAAAAATTCCAGTTGTCTTGGTTCCTGCCTAAACACACAAACACACCTAACACAAGCTTTATATGCTTTTTGTTTGTTCGGAGGATGAATTAATCATTCCGCTTTGATTAGATTGGGAAGCATCGTGGCATGTTAAGTTTCCATTAAATTCTGTTTGAAGAGGAATCCTTTCGTTTGTATTGTTGCTCATCATGGGCATTGTCCAGGTCTGCTAACTCTGTGCTGGTAGCTCTTGATCTTTTGCCCCAGTAGTCATCTCATGAGTCCATACTACGTATTTACTATAAGGCTCCTGAAAATAACCAATGCTCTGAATCGATTTGGGCATATTCAGAGCAGATTGGTTCATCTTGATTTTGGTGATGCATTTTTTATTTTTATTTTTTTGGTCCAGATAAGATTGGGGCTGATTTGGATATTCCAAATAAACCAAATCAATTTTCTAAATCGTTTTCACGTGATGGGATCTGACTGATGTTTCAAAGGAGCTCAAGTTTTCATCAGCTGCTGTTACTACGCATTTGATCAATGGTTAAGGCACCAGTCCCCTCTAAAATTACCAGATAAGTTCATACGGAAATAAAAGCTGAATGCTGGCTTTTATTTTGTGTTTTAAACCACTGAGTCACTGTGATTACAAAGTTCCAGAAACAGCATAGTGTAACATTGCCTTTAAACACTGAGATAGTGTAATAAAAATTGGTGTACATGTACTTACAATAAGAATCTCTAATGTTCGTAGAGTTATGTCATCGGCTATAATCCTCTTGTTTAGTGCAAGAATCTGTATTCAACATTCCTGGCAGGATTCCTTTCTTCCTTCTCTCCCTCCTGCCCTCCCCATCTCTCTCAATTTCCTTCTTTCCTTCCTCCCTTTTCATCTCTCAATTTCCTTCCTTCCTTCCTTCCTTCCTTTTCTTCAGAGAAGGGGACTCAAGCCTTGCTTTGGAAATAGCTCATTATTCGTTTGAGCCCCACTCTTTACAGAGATGATACAAAAAATGTAGCTTTTGCTGTTGGAAAATGCTTGTATTTTTGATAACTTTATCCAGGATTGTTTTTCTTTGGCTTATATTTTCACAATTTCCCCCATAATCTGTTTGGTTGGTTGGAGCAGCAGAGAAGAGAAAAAGGTATTTTATTAAAAAAAAGAAGTAAGAAGGTAGAGATGGGATTGAGAGAGTTCGTTAACATTTCTAAAGGCCTGGCAGGACTGTGTATGAACACCTTTCCTTTTTTAAAATCATATAAATTCCAGCATTGAGGATTTGCAGTTATGGAAAAGGCACAAGCTCTAGAGCTCAAAGGAGTTTATAATCTTTTAAGCTCAACTTTTTACATTTGGCTACTGTGCATTTTATTCATATTCTGGCCAACTCTGTATAGCAAATAGCAGATGTTCTATCACTAGTGCCTGTAAGGGAAGACAAATCTGGTCTAGAATTGATTCTGTTTCTTCTTAACAGCCTGACTGATGGAGTAGTCGGAGGTGGGCTTTCAACCTTTCAGCTGAATTTTGGTTCGTGTGTTACCTATTCTCTGCTATGTAACCAATTCCCTGACAAGTCTGAAGAGTGATTAAAAACCTTGTTGGGACTGCCATGATGATTTCTCCATTCATGCTACCGCTGCTTTGTTGGATCTTAATTCACACTTGTAGGACTGCTTGGGCCCAGGACAGGACAGGTCAGGAGAGGAGATGGGTCTCCTACAGTAGTGGCCAAACTTGTGGAAACCTTTTGGGGAAAGTGTATTTTCTAAAACTAGCTAATAACACCACTTTTTTTTTTTGGAGTAGTACCGTAAAATTATATATCAATGGAAAGATAATTTAATCAAGAATGTAATGCAATAACTTTTAGGAAGGATTTGCTATTAGAATAGCAGTTACAGTATAAAGAACAGTGAAACATGTAGAAAAAACGAGATACACAAAAGTTATCACCATAGAAAAAACAAGATGTACAAAAATTATCACATCAGTTAATACTTAGTTGGGTAACCGTTAGCCTTACAACGTCTTCCCAAGTCTTTGAGTTCTGCAGCTGTTCTAATGTGAAACCAAGATTGAAGGATGGCTTCTATTAACTGGGTTTTATTGCTGGGTCGCTTCTGACTAACAAGTTTCTTTAGTAGGCTCCATAGATTTTCAATTGGGTTAAGGTCTGGGCTATTCCCAGGCCATTCCAGCAGTGGAATAGGATTATCTTGAAACTCCAAAAAAAAAAATTAGTCATCAAACCTCAAAAATGCACTTTTCCCAAAAGGTTTCCACAAGTTTTGACTATTACTGTAGAGTTCTATTCTCGCTAAGAGGAGATCATTCTATGACTAGAAGGAACGTCTGTGACTCCCTTGTACCAAATGAGTCATGTTCCTTCCGAGTGCCAAACCAAGACACACTAGGAACCTGAATGGTGTGTGAGTCTACTATAAAAGGAAGTCTCTCATCAGATGAAAACGGATCCAGAATCCTTTTGAGCTTGTACTTGAGAGATCTCTTTTCCAGACTTCCTTGGGATTCTGGATTGACTGGGCTAATCCGCACATTTGCGTGTTGCGTCATAGTCTTCTGCTTTAAATTCAAAGGATGGGGATGGGGAAACAGACTAGACAAGAAATAGACTATAATTCACCTAAGAAATATTGGACATAAATTTGAGTTTTGAGTTTATTTAGATTTATATACCGCCCTACTCCCGAAGGACTCATGGCGGTGAACAGCCATAGATAAAACAGATACAATATAAAATTTAAAAAACAATTTTAAAAACATATTAAATACATTTGGCGCATACTAATTAAAAACACCCCTATTTTTAAAAACAAATTAAAATTAAACAAGAGTTAGGCCAGCCCGCTTGTTGGAATAAAAAAGTCTTGAGGGCACAGCGGAAAGTGCGTAAATCCGGGATCCTCCGTATCTCCGGGGGGAGCTCGTTCCAAAGGGCAGGTGCCCCCACAGAGAAGGCTCTCCCCCTGGAGGCCGCCAGTCGACACTGTTTGGCCGACAGCACCCTGATCCGTTCACACCGTTTGGAAATCCACTTAAGCTCTTTCAGCTCTGTGCCCACCAGCCCTTTAATGACCAACGGTAGTATATTGGGATTTCCAGCTTGCTCCTTGGCCTTGTTGGCTGGAGATGACTAGAACAGCTCAATGCATCTGGAGATCCGATTTGTCAGTGACTTGCAACAACAAAAATCGCGCTCTGGCATTCCAGCAGGTGGCATTCACGCCTCTATAATGTCTACCAAGTGCAAAGTGGCATTCTCAGTCCTAATATCATAGCCCTATATGGCCTGCTATGTCTTATTGCATAATAAATATATTAGAAAAGGTATTCATGTAAGATTGTTCTGATCAGCCCAGATACAGAAATGGATAACATGTTACTTTCACCCTAGTTGGCTTCTCAATATTTTCAGTTTGGCAGGAGTCAACCTGACAAGCCAAGACAGAACACATTGCAGCTAATTGCTACAAGTATCAAATGTCCAGTTATATTTACGGCAAGCAGCAGCTAAAATTTGTAGAATTTATTCATGACCTTGTTCATCCAGTCACGGGGGAAAAAATAGCATGGTATATATGTGACCTTAATTGGCTAAATTGATCTCCATTTCTTCAGAAAATGTTAGGTGAGAAGCTACTTGAGTAATTCTTACTTAAAAGGTAAAGGTTCCCCACGCACATACGTGCTAGTCGTTCCCGACTCTAGGGGGCGGTGCTCATTTCCATTTCAAAGCCAAAGAGCCAGCGCTGTCCAAAGATATCATCTCCGTGGTCATGTGGCCGGCATGACTCAACGCCAAAGGTGCACGGGACGCTGTTACCTTCCCACCAAAGGTGGTCCCTATTTTTCTCGTATTTTTTACGTGCTTTTGAACTGCTAGGTTGACAGAAGCTGGGACAAGTAACGGGAACTCACCCCATTACGCAGCACTAGGGATTTGAACCGCTGAACTGCCGACCTTTTGATGACAAGCTCAGCATCTTAGCCACTGAACCACTGCGTGCCTGATAATTCTTACTTAGACGGATGTAATTTATGGAATGAATACATGTATAATCTCCACTTTTCAGTACAAATAAATCATCGGGGTGGTTTATGAAACGGCAGATGATCCAAGTAAAAATGAAGGAGATATAAGCTACAAACTTCAGCGTAGTTCTAAATGGGCCCATGTTTAGTCGTAAAATGAACCAGTACTCCTAAAAACAGGTTTGGATGGGGAGGATTTACGCTCCTACCTGGTACATCTCTGAAAACTGCTTTAAAACAAGCACGTAGGATTCATACGCATCCATCAATTCATAAATGGCCTCTCGTGAGAAAATAGTGCATGAATCCTCAAGCCATTTTAGCACCTATTCTGGGAAATTTGTGTGGCATGAGTGGAAGATAGACCTCGTACTGATTCAAAACGGGACTCAACAGACTTGTAGCTGCGTTAAAAGCTTAAAACTCTTGAATTTTAACTTGACATTTTGTCACTTGAAGGATAATCCCTCCTATCCTGCTTGTAGCATTAGGGGTGAAAATTGTTCCTATTTTATTTGAGTAATATAACATAATGCCTCTTCAAGTATCTTATAAGAGGCTCTTATGCTGTAATTAAATAATTGGGTATTTCTCTGCTTTACCCTTGGAATTAGATTTTCCAGTCTGCATATTGAGTAGTTAATTAGTTGCTGCTTCCTTTTGAGTCCCGAAGTCAGAAGACTTGGATTTAAACCGAGATTCTTTCATTAACTGGATTCAGACCTCTTGCTGAGCCAAACTGCCTCGTTTGGCTTTGATTTCACGTAGTACATGAATAGAGTCCTTGTGGTTTTGTAAACCATGGTTTATAGCATGGCATATTGTGTGAACCCAGCAAACTGCAGTCTATTCAATAACGCAGCCTTTTTCAAAATGAGATTTTGGACATCCCAAGAGGATGGATGGAGTCCTTTCCGAGCAAGCTGATCAGTTTAATGGAAAAGTCTGCAGAATATGAAGCACTGCAGTGGTTCTAGAAGTCTACAAAGCCTAAATATACTTTTTTCTTTTTTAAAAAAAGTCCCTGCGGATTTTACTCCGCTAGTTATTGTCAACTATAGGGGGCAGTGTTTATCTCTATTTCAAGGCCATTGAGCCAGCACTCTGAGGAATTTTTGTGATCATGTGACCAGTGGTAACATCACGGAGCACTGTTACCTTCCCACTGACGTGGTACCTAATTATCTACTCACATTTGCATGCTTTTGACCTCGATTGGTGGGAACTGAGGTAAGGAGATGAGCTCACCCCGTCTTGTGGCACTTGGGTTTCAAACCCGGGCTTTCCAGCTGACAAGCCCAATGTCTTAATTACTGAGCCACCGTTAGCACCAACACCACCCAAAAGGCAAAATAAATCCTATTATTCTTGATTTGGTTTGAAGCAAAAGCTACATTCCATCACTTTGCAGAAGGAAGCTGTTCCAGAATAGAGAGCGCTAAACAACGCACTTTTGCAAGCAGCATTTTAGGAACATCTTAACACAAGGCAAATTGAGGCAAATCCTTTCCATGCAGAACCCAGATTTTCCGTTATGCAAACGTAACAAGCTCCTCCATCCCATTAGAAACACAGCCTTATCTTTTATTTACTTCTCTCTGCTGAAACAGTTTTCTGTGGACCAGTAAGGTTTTCTTTTATTGGACACCTAGTTTGAAATTTAATAATTAAACACATGTGGCATTCTTGGCCCCACCGCACCCCATGAAATCATTAAAACATTTCTGAAATTGGAAGCGTGACTAAAGAGCAAGGTTTCTCAACTAAAGCAGGTTTAAGATATTGGGACTTCCACTTCCAGAATTCTGCTCTAGAAAAACCCCTGTCTGCTACTGATTTGCCAAGGAGGAGAGGAGTGGGACTTCCTTGCTTGATCTGGTGGGCAAGCATGTACTAAAAGCTACAGCCCTTTCCTGGAATGAAACCACCAGTTTTGGTTGCCACGATGTAAAAAGAGACTCTAGAAAGAGTGCAGAGAAGAGCAACAAAGATGATTAGGGGACTGGAGGCTAAAACATATAAAAACCAGTTGCAGGAACTGGGTATGTCTAGTTTAATGAAAAGGAGTACTAGGGGAGACATGATAGCAGTCTTCCAAGATCTCAGGGGCTGCCCCAAAGAAGAGGGAGTCAAGCTATTCTCCAAAGCACCTGAGGGCAGGACAAGAAGCAATGGGTGGAAACTCATCAAGGAGAGAAGCAACCTAGAACTAAGGAGAAATTTCCTGACAGTTAGAACAATTCATCAGTGGAACAACTTGCCTGCAGAAGTTGTGAATGCTCCAACACTGGAAGATTTTAAGATTGGATAACCATTTGTCTGAAGTGGTGTAGGGTTTCCTGCCTAAGCAGGGGGCTGGACTAGAAGACCTCTAAGGTCCTTTCCAACTCTTATTCTATTCTGTTCTATATCTGATCAACATTCATAAGGGTCAGGGTTCATAACATCAAGAGATCTAAAAGGATCCAGAAAAGAAAGGAATGGAGATCTGCTTTCGGAAGAGGTTGCTCTTAGTCACGACCAGCACAAGAACTAATTTCTTCAACCTCACATAAAC